CGAGTTGCTCGACAAGAACTTTTCTGAGGGTAGTCGAGAGAGATTTCCTGTGGAAATGAAGTGAAGCCAGACAGCTGTATGCCCTCCTCGTCACGCTTCTCACATGTTCGGACTAGTTTAACGTGGGAGTAAGTGTCACACCCAGATTACGAGCACTAGTAACATAGTCGAGTGGAACCTCGTTGATGGTGATCTTCACGATGTCATTCAAGTTGATAGCCCTAACGTACTGTTCGCTGCCCATTATCATGACCTTGGTCTTGGTGAGGTTCAGGGAGATACCGTTTCCTAGTGCCCAATCCGCTATAGCCTGCACATCAAGCTGCACCCTCCCCAAAGTCTCCGCAAGGTTGCTGGGATGACAGTGAAGATAGACCTGCGTGTCGTCGGCATAAAGCACGTAGTTCATGAAGGAGAGAACAGAGGGCAGGTCCGAGATAAAGATTGCAAATAGCAATGGTCCTAAAATACTACCCTGCGGTACTCTAGTAGCAACCCTGAGCCAATCCGACACCCTGCCATCCTCCCCCATAACAGCCTGAAACCTGTCAGTCAGATAGCTGAAGAACCATCCCAGGACAGTGTCAGACAGGCATAGGTCCCTGAGCTTGACCATCAGACGACCATGGGGGATAACGTCGAAAGCCCTGGAGAAATCTAGCAGGACGAGGATTGTAATTTTACGCTCCTCAATATCCCTACGGACGTCGTCCAGGACACCCAGGAGAGCTGTCTGGGTGCTGTGAAACCGCACGAAACACGCCTGCCGTGGATCACGCAGCTTGTGGCGGTCCAGGTAAGACGAGAGTTGTAAATGAACGAGCCTCTCAAGCACCTTTGATACCTCAGATAACCTTGCTATCGGTCTTATGTCCGATAAAAGAGCGGGCGAAGGTACTTTGGCAAGAGGGGTGATGAGAGACCGTTTTCAGGAGGTAGGAAAAACGCCGCACAGTAATGATTTGTTGACAAGATGCGTGAGAGATGAGAGACAAGAAGAGGAGACGAGTTTAAGCATCTTGACAGACAAACCATCAGGACCGAATGTTCTGGATGTGGACGAGTTTAGTGCATCCATGACCTCCTGGCAAGTGACCTCACGAAAATTGAATGGGGAGTGGACGTGAGGAGCGTTTGGGGGACTCGTTAAAAGGGCGTCCAAAAAGTCACGTGTCAATGGAGGAGACGAGTTGACTATGTTGGCAAAGTGGGTGTTTAGTACGGATGGACAAAAAAATTGAAACGGGGATGGAAGAGCGCGCCTTGTGACTCCCAAGTTTCGTAACTCTCTCCATCTGACCTTGCTGGTGGCTGCGGAAGACAGTCTGCCTGAAATACAAGAATTTTTTGCAGAGTCGAGGGCATTTGAGACATCGTTGCGTAGTCTTCGATACCCAGCGACGTCACTGCCCGAGCGGGAGGAGGATGCCAGTTCATAGGCAGCGTCACGCTTTTTCATAAGCGCAAGAATGCTCGGAGTCACCCAGGGTTTACGCCTAGAAGACAACCTGATGCACCTAAGAGGGGCTACCTCGTCAAAGGATTTTATGAGGACTTCAGTGAGAGAGTGCACCAAGTTGTCAAGGGGATGCACGTCGGCTTCGATCGACGGGTCGAAAGAGTGCTGCAGTCGTGTTGAAGAAAGGTCGACCAGACACGAGAGAAGGCCCCTGAGGGTCCCATTTAAGGCCGCTTCGTCCACCCGATTTAAACCGCGGGACCTAATGACTGTGGTGATATGCTTGTTAGTAGCGAAGCGATAGGTGAGCGAGATGAAATCATGACCAGCAATAAAAGGAGTATCAGACTTTTCAAATGTCTGGATAGCATTTAGGTCTTTCACTATGAAGAGGTCAAGAGTAGTATAGGAAGGGGGATTTGTATCAAGACAGTGATGAGTGGGAGCAGTGGATACGAAGTGGAGGTTGTGCAGGTCAACGAGAGATCTCAAAGCTCGAGCATCCGGCAGAGAGCTGGAACCTAGGTCTGCGTTAAAATCACCAGTAATGATGACATTTCCGTACAGAGGGAGGTAAGTGGCCAAACAGTTGAAAAAGTGTGTGGGAGAGCAAGCAGAGGGACGTCTGTATACCACCGCCATCAAAAGCTTGGTGTTGTCGGACTTTATTTCACCTAGGATGAATTCAGGTGTGTTATCGAAAACTGGATCTGAAGTAGCTAGGAAACTGAATTTAAGGTGAGATCTGACGTACAGGCCAACACCGCCATCCGCTTTCCAATTCGGTCAAGCCTGAAAAAATTGAAATCGGGGAGAGAGAGGTGTGAGTCAGAGATATCAGGTGAGAGGAAAGTTTCAGTAATGGCTATGACATCAAAATGTGTAGAAATGGCTTGTGCTTCGAGAAGAGCAAAGTGACAGGGGGAATTTAGTCTGTTTATATTGATGTGGCCGACAACGAAGCAAGCAGAGGGCGGGGTATGGTCCCGGGTTAGTTGGCATCATGGACCAGAAACTGGAGGAGATGAAGATGGGATGGCTTGAGATAGCTGGGCCGGAAAGACACACACTGTCGGGCTAAAACAACCGTCCGTTTTGCTAAATTGCGGAGCCGGGTTTTTAGGGATGGAGGCAGTAGGTCGCGATTTGACCACCTGGGGCGCGAAGTTAAGTTTGAGTGGAGCATGTCTGCGAGTGCCGATCGGAGTGTCAGCCGCTGCCATGGCACTAGAGCGCAGAGCGGCCTGGACAGGAGGCTGACCGGGAGGCAAAGGCGTGCAGGTGTCAAGGTCACTCTCCGACGTGATTGGGATCGGGGTGGAACATGTATTCTCTCGTATATGGACGACCATACCCGAGACGAAAGGGCGCGCGAAACCCAACTCACGACTGCGCGCGAGCGCCTTTACAAAGAGATTGTGGATCGGCTGCGGTAACAGCTGGCGGATGAAGACGGGGTTTCCGTGACCGCACTTGAAAATGTCCCTCGCCGTCTTCCCAGCGACCCTGCCCGAGCGCTCCAGTATGACATCACGCACCACCGTTGAGTCGATACGCACGACGAAAGTGGACGTAGTATCGGTCGGATTTGGACGAGAACGAGTGGCAGTCCATCTTCTGGTGGCCACTATGCGACCACCAGCGTTTGGGCAGCCAATCGCCTCAAAAAGCATCCCGGCGGCATCCTCCAGTGAACCCTGGAACCCCTGCGGTAGGCCTAGAATGAGGAGCTCGGAACGATCCTTGAGATCCACCACGGACTTGAGGCTCTTCACCTCGTCGGCAACACGATTGACTTTGGTTAGAATGGAAGTCTGGGTGGCTCTGATCTCGTTCCAAAATTCAGTGAATTCATTATTCACGAAGCCAGAAAACCATGCTAGTGGTTTGTCGCCCGTGGTAGATGCCATGCTATCCAGCAAGTGGGTTTGGTCCGTGCTGGAGGAAGAAACAGTGGGAAGGGCGGCCGATTGGTCAACACCACAGAAGTCACTCCGGGATTCCACTCTCGACGTCTTCGATGGGAAAAGCTCGTAAGGTGATGCCTGTCTCTTATGGCCTGAGATTTCGATAAAAGGCAAAGTACCAGCAGAAGCAGAGTCAATTTGAGTGGAAGGAAGGGATTCCAAAAAAACGGCACCGGACTGATGAGAGTTGGCCAAAACTGAAGACTGAAAAGAGCAGGCACGACAGGTAAAGGTAGCAAGGTCAGGGTTTGAGGTTATATGGAAACAGTGTCGATGGAAAGATCTATCACAGGACTCGCACTGCAGGATATTAGCATCCAGATAACTCAGCGCTTCACCACACTCGGCGCATGAAGACAAGACCATTTGATAAAAATGAAAGGTTTGAAAATTTAAAAACTAGTTAAGACAAAAAATAAAAATTCATAAAATGTGTCAAAAAGTTTCCCATATCTCCTCCCCGGATCTCAAAACTTCGCAAGAAACTGTAACAAGTAAGATAATTTAAAGGACCGATTGGCACGACTAATTGAACATAGTTTGAATTTCGCGCGAAAATTTGAAACGCAAAAATAAATAAGTAATTTATCCGCAAAATGAAATGAGAAAAAATGATTGGTGAAGCGAACGCGGAAAAATTACATTGCAAAATTCATGAAAAAGTAAGAAAGTAAACGCGATTTGACACAGTCGATAGAATAAAATTAAAATTAAGATTAAAAATAAAATTGTCTAGCGTGTAGATAGCGCTAGATGAAAATACAACAGTATAAACTAAGTAAAACAAAACAAGATAAAGTAAAATAAATATAAATTAAAATAAGCTTAAAATTAAAATAGCCATCGCGATGACTAAGCGCAAGAACAAATTAAGTTAAAAGTAGTGATGCGGCGAAGAAATAGCACCGGCTATGAGGAGTCTCTCCGAGAAGATTCAAATATGTGGATAACGGTAAAAATAGTTGACACTGGTACTTAGCAGCAAAAGTGTTGGAAGTGTTGCATTCGGTGAGATGTGTGATGTGTAGTGTGTAGAGTGTAGCGGTCCTGGTGTGGAGGCTGTGTTGTTGTTTGTGTTGTTTGCAGAAGTGTATAGATCAAAACTCGTTAAAATTGGAGATTTGATGAAGGTTATGTTGTAACCAGGCAGGCGGTTTATTCATCCACTGGCCAAAAAATTGACTAAAAGCCAAGAATTTTTAGCAGGAAGCGCAGTGGCCAGCTGGACGAACTCGCCTGCAAAAAAATGCCGCTCGAGGAAGTGGCAAAATTGAGAAAATGTATATTAAGGAAGAGAGCCTCAAAGACCAGTGTTTCGTTACTCACCGAGAGAGAGAGAGAGAGAGAGAGAGAGAGAGAGAGAGAGAGAGAGAGAGAGAGAGAGAGAGAGAGAGAGAGAGAGAGAATATAGGAGAATATAGGAAATACGAGTATATACGTCACATAATATAATAAGTCATATATTACATAGCTTATCTATAGATTTTATATTAATTTCAATGAGATATTTATGATCAATAAATTTTACTGTTCAGTGTGATCGATTTATAGAAGTACTATTATATAATTATTACCTTTTTTAGATCTGATGAACTCATTTTCTTAACACATGTTGGATTCTGCGATAATTCATGTTGCAATAAATCGGTCGCAGAAATTAATAGTTCAACAACGACTCCTAGGTGTACTCCACAAGAAGCTTCTCTCATTCTGATTTCTTGATTATCAGTTTTGTATGATAAATACGGTTCGAACAATACGCTTCGTAATTTTTGATCCATTCTGCTATGTTGCATTTGATTTCGCGCATATAACATAATGTTAGCGGTAATCTGAGCACATATAAAATTCCAATGGTTTACACCACATTTGAGTAATGGTTGAAATTTTGGCAAAAGAGCTAACATCAGTCTTTGTAATCTGTAAAGATGCGCTCGCAGTTCACTCATACCAATACCGTCTTTTATTACACTCTCACCTATATCTGATTTGTTCGCTTCCTCGTCGACTAATCTATATATATCTAAAATAGAAAGTTTATAAATTAAGTCTTTTTGTCCATTTATTAACCTTTTGAAGCCAGCTACGGCTTATATTTCGGCTATACCTAGATTTATTACAATATAATTACATTAAGATAAAGCAGTACAGTAATGTGTTTGCCATATATCGTATGTCTCATTTAAATAGGATATAATATAATTATAGGCGTTCAATTCCGGTATCCCGACAGTCGACTTGATATTGAATCGTAAGAAATAGCCAAGAGATCATAAATTTATATATGGAGCCTGTCGTTATTTGTCAAATCTAACGCATTGTCAGAGAACGTAATTAATGTCCTCGTTGCCCGAATTGCATTCATACGCCGAGTTAGGTACAATGTTAACTTTAGCTAGTGAGGCAGCTAAATTGTAATGATTGGCTCTAATATGAGGGTGGTTCGATAAGTACTTAGCCTCACCGCCCGATGACGCCATTATCACAAGAGAAATATACTACCATGTAGTACAACCTTGTCGATGGTTACTGTCAAAATTTCAGCTGAATCGGACTCATAGTTCTGTTGTGACCGCGTGTGGAAGCTGGTGTGTTAGAAAAATGGAAAAAGAGCAGTATCGGTAGGTGATTCGATTCTTGTTTTTGGAAGGAAAATCGCGGAGTGAAATAAAATAGCGCTTGGACGCTGTGTATGGTGACTCTTCTCCTTCGATGGCGACTGTAAAAAATTGGTTTAACGAGTTTCAACGTGTTTATATATAATATAATCTGTTCATAGGTATATTTGTTATAATCCTCGTTTGTGATAAGTGGAATAGTCAGTGTCTGTGTGAAAATTACAGTTTGCCTCATCTGATTCAATTGACGTTGTAGAGAACGCTGTTGCTCTAATAAATTATCAATTACATGTCGACGATTAAGCATATAGAAGTCACGTATGTCTACCTTCTCCGCTAAACTCTGTTCCTTAACATTACATTGTTGGAGCATTATTTCTAGTTCCTCGCGACATTGACGTTCAGCTGCGTGATTCATCTGAACTATATCTAGTTGTTCTCGCACCAATAAGTGTTATCAGAGCTTTTTAAAAAGTAGCTTTCGGGGGGGATTCGAGACAGCGGTAAACTTTCGTTCAGCGAAACGAAAACATTGGCCGTCGATGCAGTCAAAACACCAGGGCCTATTGGTAAGGCAATCGCCCGCATACAACTTGTGCGCTTAGTGGATCAGATCTAGTGAATTATCTTGGTAGATCTTGGTAGATCGAAGAGGGACTGTTGGATCCTTACTGAGGAGTCAAATCCAATAGTCTTGGACGAAACGCCTATTTTTAAAATCATGCTTTTGTAAACTCGTAAACTATTGACCAAAAGTAAGTTGCAATGGATTTCAATTGTATAAATTTTGGAATTGCTCTTATGCCCAATACTTTTATCATCGTTGACGAGATTACAGGATTATAGGATTAAAGAAATTCGGATTAAGAGTCTGAGGTTACTGCCTCGTAGGTTTCGGAGCTCGAAAAATAATAAAAGTAGGGCGCGGTGGTTCGGAATTTCAAAGTAACAGAGGTAAGTGCTCGAGAGTTAAAAAACTTGGGTTAAGAGTATGGAATTATTATAGCCCCACAGTTTACAAGGGTCAAAAGTTACGGAAATTGGGACATGAGGCGTCGGAGTTACTAGGTGTCACGGTTGTGTTCTGAGAGTTAAGGATATTAGGGTATGGGTGGTTGGGGATACAGTTTAATAGAATTAGGCGCTATATAATTAAGAAAATTGGGGTTAAGAGGGTTGGGGCTAAGCGTGAAAAAGGTTATGTGCTTGAAGGTTAAGGAAATTGGAAGTAAGGTCTGAATTTATTGAGGCGTGTTCAAAAAGTAAGGTGAATTTTTATTTTTATAAAAAAATATTTATTTATTCATTAATAGTTATGTTGTCTCCTTCAAAGTAATCCTTCTTAGATATAATACATTTGAGCCAACGTTTTTTCCAATCCTCGAAGCACTTCTGGTAAGCACTTTCTGGTATAGCCTTGATAGTCCAGATAATAGAGCAAATTTCGCGTACTTTATTTTGGGACAGCACAAAATTTTTACCGTGGATAGCTGACAACGAGTGTAATAACATATCTTCATCCAAAGTCTGAAATCGGTGCAGAACATTGTTAACCAGCCGTTTGAAAAAAAAATGTTATCTATTTTCATGTTTTCGCGTAATATCTTTTTTACTAGCAGTTGAATCAAAAAATGGTCTAATGGTTTTTGTTCGTCTCGGCAAGACCTACAAAAGCATGTGACGCACGTTAATACATGTCAATTAGATAAAAAGTTATTAACACCAAAAGGTCAATTGTTTATTCCATAATTACCGTTAAATATTTGATCATAGAGATTTTCCATGGACCTCAATGTAGTTCTTATTACGAAAAGATTATGAGCTTTGAAGCCACAAGCTCTAATGTTAATTGGAATCCATACAGACGGTTAACAACAAATTAACTGTTTCGTTTTGTTCATAGTCGGAATCGTTAAGCAAAGTGACGCCGATTTTTTTATCGGCACTTGTTAGAGTTTATAATCGAAAACTGCAATTTAAACAAAAAAAATTTAACTTACGACTCAGGGAATTTTTTCTAAAATATTGCTTAGTTACAAAATGAAATTGACCGCGTATTATAAGACTTTTTTTGTGTTTTACAATTTATATCGGTAGATGGTCAAAAGAGCTTCAATTTGAAAAAAATCACATGAAAATTCCTCAATTAATAAAAAAGTTACAGGTTGTTATAGTTTTCGACCTGTTGTTAAAAGATCAATATAGATAACGAAAAATTTTTTAAGCGATCCGAAGCGAAAAGCCAAGGTTCTTTTAACTATGCCATTTGCTTAGCTTATACCACTTGTAAACATTTTTTTGACTTAAAGTCGACTCACCGTATGCCACTGTCAACATTTCAAGTGTTTTGGAGCACTTAATTCCATTTTTTATACAAAATCTTTTATACAAAAATTTTATGCAAACTCTTTGATCCATTATTTTCGACAGTAAAAAATCGCCGAGCACAAAAAATACGTCTAACGTTTCTGTCTCGCAAAAAAAAAATATTAACATACAAACTAGTTGAAACTGTGAGCATATGTGAGAGACATGTATACCAACACAATAAAAAAAAATATCGATGATCGAATCTACGTAGCCCACCCAATTTAAAAATTCACCTTACTTTTTGAACACACCTCGTATATGCAAGTGTTAACTTTATAGGACTTGAGGGTTAAGGATATAAGGGTTTAAGGGTATAAAGTTATATTTGTGTTTTGCAAAATGAACGAACTGACCTTCAAATGATCTTACCCATAACTCGATGGGATCAAATGTATACCACGTTTGCATTCAGGATACAAAAATACATGATTGCATATAATTGAAGTGCATAGGACGTCTGAAATGCCGGTTCGAATGAGTCGAAAAGAAATTTGGTCTATCTGTCACTTCTTTGACTTCTAGGTGACCTCCAAGACTCATGTTGAAGAATATGTATCAATCTTTCATTTTCGTTACTATAAACAAATTTGACCTTGAAGTGACCTTGAATCTGACGTGATAGAGGTTAATGGACTACGGATTCGTATTTGGCGTGTCGAAATACGTAAGTATTATGTGGTCCGGTCAAATAATCCTGAACTATTTTTATTTTGTAAACCTGTGTAATGATTGATGCATAGTATAATTACTAAATTGCAAAGTAAGTTCAAAATGTATACCTAACAAAATTAATAGATAAATGATGACTGATACAATTTAAATATTAAATATTAGAACTCTAAATATATCTAAGTTTAGCGTTTACTAAGATATTAAATATAAATTAAATTAAATGTAAAATAGTATATGTGGTGTCATCTATCCAATCTATATTATATCGATTAATCAATCTATTATTCGATATATGGATCTATTATTTTTTTGGAATTTATCACAATTATTCGCATCTTTCGTCTATGTATGCGTAGATGAGTTTACAATATATTTTAAAAATTGATTTATAAATATAACAAGGGGTAGTCATGGTGTAGATTGCTATTGTTGAAATTGAAAGCATTTTTTACGGTGGATATTTTAAGTGGATATTATTATAACATTATATTGACGATTATGTTTCAAGAAGTAGATTGACGATCTGCCTTTGTATATACATATAATATGTAATAATAATAATATAAGTACAAAAAATTATAACTGATGAACGATTACATTTAATTTTTTAACGCTACCAATACCACGCCACATTTTTAGATTATATCGATTATTGGTTATATCCTTGATATTGTCAGTACAAAAACTATTTTAGTAATTGATTATGACGCATGTTCTACATTTTAGAAAATTGATTAGATTCATACATTTTATACATTTTATTTGCACTTGATAGAACAATTGTAATAATTAATGGCTCGCTTTCAGTTAATTTATAATTTTTTATTTTCTAATCATTCAAAAACTATATATACAAATTCATTTTCATTTTTCAGATTGTCTATACTGGTATATGAATAATATATAGTCTATGAATTAATTAACATAACAGATGCTTCGAATACATTAATTATTTTTTATTGTGGATGAAGTATTGCTGATACGCTGCTAACACATCTGCTTATAATAGCTACTGATCTGACCGTCGAAGGGCATTAATCAAACATCAGCGATTGTAAAAAGAAGGTAAATGTGAATATTTTTATATATTATGTGACGGTAATCGTCGTATTAGCGCTAATAGCCTAACCTAGTGGCTGCCTGCGGGGGCAGCACCTACCGGTAGACGAAAAATGTAATGAGGGAATTCGGCACGCGGCGAGACGGAACGCGCGCGATTGAAAACGAACCAGTGCAGGATCAACTACCGATACAAAACCGCAAACTCGAGACCCGCAGTTTGATTGCCCGAACGCAGCGCAGAGATTAGCTGATTGTTGTTGTCGAGCTGTCCGGAGTGTCGACCTGAGCCAGCAGAAGCGGT